CCGGCACATTAGGGAAAACATCACAAAAGCTGCAAGAGTTTTAGCATGATTTCTAGGGGTTTTAATAGATCCAAATGATATCAAACAGGAAGATAATCAAAAATAATAATAATAATTAAAAAGAAGAAGTTGGAAAAACCCTCACCTGATAAGAAGATCATTTTTTTCCCACTGCAAATCCTCTCACTCTGGGATGAATATAGGCTATGTACCTATTTGCAAAATAACCCTATTACTATTTATTTTACCTTATAATCTTTAAGATTACATATGCAAATCTCCTTTACTATTTGGTCCATTTCATGATTAATTTTTCATGAATCTCATTTTAATAAAGATGTACTTTAGTGAAATTTATCAGAAATAATTATATATTTTATAAAGATCCCCTCAGTTAAATAAAATATTTAATTAAAAAATTCGGGAGTTTATGTGAGGTTTTCAAATTATTAGAGAATTTAAGACCAAGGAGACAAGAGAACTGCGATCTGAGATCAAAGGAGGGAATCTCATCAAGAGTCTTTCCAACTTTAATTCTGGCATCACAACTTTGCAAAGTATGACCCATGTGACCACAAAAATGCACAACAAAGAAGTCTCTCACAATTCACTTTAATTTTGAATTCTTCCAATTTAGGAGTATAAGGACAACTAATCTCAATGGTTAGTTGAAAAGAATCTTAATTTTACTCAAAGAAATCTTCACCATGGCTAGTGTGGGAAGGGGTTTCCATCTTCGAGGAACTTTCCTATGAGAGATCCAAGTTTGTGCCTAATTGTGGAGCTTGAAGAGCAAGGGAGATTTTGTGGAATTGGATCCATACAGGAGAGGTTTTGAACATGTTTTTTTCAACTTTCATGTTTCTTTCTCCCTTAGAGGTTAGGATAACATCACTTCGATATGACCAAGGACTTTTTTTGTGATTGATCTTAGCATACCTTTGATTTTGAAATAGGCTAGGCCCACATTTGGGAAGGCTGCAAAGATAGATACTTGATCTTTAGGACCTTACAGATCGAAGATGTTTTTTGTTGTTGCTAATTTTATAGTTTTTATCAGTGAGAACAATAAAAAGGGGTTATTTTGGGTCGAAGGAGTCTTTGATATGCTCATCCATTACAATGACTCTACTTTCTTGGGAGACCAGTGGTAGATATGGCTTTGAGTTTGTTTATGAGGGATTTAGTAGCCTCATCCATGGTTGGTTGGTTAAATGAAGGAATTGAGGGTGGGTTGGGATAGATGGAATGTGGTGGTATTCAATAAGGGATGATGAGTTTAGTGAGGGAATGTTAGAGAAAGGTTAGTCTAAAATTAAAGGGTATGTAGAAGGGAGAGAAGAAGGAATGAAAGAGGGAGGGCATAATAGAAGGAGGAGAACACGGGGGGTGGTTTGGGTGGGAGGGGCAGAGGGGGGGAGCTCTGAAGGGGGCATGTAGAAAGAGGGAGCTTTTTCTCCTTATTTGACTTGGAATGTCTCTTTTATATGTGGATGATAAATCATATAAAAATATCCTACAATAAATCATATAATAATATCCTACATGTGGGATGCTCTGAACCATATATAAAAAAATTACAATATTATATACTCCCTAAACACCACTTTCATAAGGTCAAAAAAATACATGATCGTGGATTTAGATGTTTTTATATGATTTAATCATTGCTTGGATCCAGTAATTTTAAAAAGATTAGATGAATTGTTAAGTTTATACTATCTTGTTATTTTCTAGCTTACTCTCACCAATAATGTGTTTGTGTTTATCCTCTAGTTAAATAATAAGGGGCATTATCAAAATCCATAAACAGATTACGAATTCTCCTTTTTTTTAAGTGTACACAAACACACACATGATATTGTGAGCTGGTAAGTTCAAACCTTATCATGAGCTAGACTAATCAGCTCATTAAATTCAAAGTAGGCATTGTATGTCTTGTTGAGAACATTATTAAATGTACATGATAAAATTTGCATGATGTTCGAATCCTTTCTGAATGGGAATCAAACTAGCTTAATATGTTAATTTTTAAGACTACTTAGTAGTCGTCCCCTTTGTACATACCTAAAATAATAATTAAAATTTTTAAAATAATATAATTTTTTCTATCTATATACTAAGAGAGCGTATTTACACTTGGGCCGATACTATATGGGGTCTATTCGCCACAAACAAAACTTCGGTTCCGATGGGTAACATTTTCGTGAAGAAACCAAAGATCACCGACGTCGATCGAGGCGATCCTCTCTCTCAAGACTCAACGCCGAAAGCTCGGCCAGTATTAGAATTTATTTTTATTCACTTAAAATCTCGACCAACAAGCTTTTATAGCGATCGAGCGAAGGATCTGATCCTAGATAAAAGAAAAGACAGGGCCTTGCTTGCACTTTAGAAGGAAAAAGAAAAAACTCAAGAGGAATTATTGAAACAAGTGGATACTTGGCTCCTCAATGTTGAGCAGCAAGCTTAGAGGCCGGAAATAATGCTAACGAAGCTATGCAGAGTGAGCTTAACTTTGGAGGATGTTAAGAAATTGACAGATGCATGATACAGCTTAAGCAAGAGCTTATCAAGATGTGAGTACTATTTCATATATTAGCTCTTTGCATCAATGGCTCTTTAATTTAAGCCTCCATAATCTTGCTTCTCCTAAAGTAAAGAAATGCATATATATATATACTTCTTATAAACTAAAGGAGAACAACAAAAAGTCATGATGAACAGTAAATCTCAGGTGGACCAATCAGATTTTTTTAAAAAATTCCAATCCACGTCGCTACTCTTTCACCAAACTTCCCACTGTTTACAACCCACGATCTCCTTTAAAAAAAACTTCCCACATTTTCTCCTTGAAAATCGTCATTCAAGGCCACCACTGTTAGCGTTCTTTAACCGTATACTTTTTTTACACTCTCCACCATTCTCTCTCTTTCTCTCTCCATATTTCTTCAGATAAAGATTCAAAAAATAAAAAAAAATCAAAAATTGAGATCGATGAACGCTCATGGAAATCACGGAGGAGCATTGTCAGAGAGCTGAGGCCAACCGCCTCGCCACCCTCGAGAAGCACAAGCGAGCGACCGAGCGCTCCAACGATGACCCATGGCGCCTCTTCCGCTATCATAAGATCCCCAGCCCTACCCTCTCATCGTCCAAAGAGGATCCTGATCCCATAAACAACTCCAATCCTCCTCATCCTCCTCCGCCGGCGGTGGCAGTTCGCTTCCTCATCGTCATCGAGATCTGTTCTCCTACTGAATTCTCCGTCACTCCTCAACCTCTAAATGGTTTCACTTTCCCTGGAGGACTCGAGTGCTTTAGAGAATTGAAGCATGTCTCTCTTCGGTCTCTCCCTACCTTTGCTTTTTTGCGTTAAATTAGGGTTTAAGAAAGGTCTCATCTTTTCTCTTCTTGATTATTTCAAGCTGTCCCATTTCGAGAAATTGAGAGCCAAGGCATCCGAATGACGATGGCCTGCAATATTAAGGATCATGAACTGCTGTTGAGATGCTTGAGGATGATATCGGGGGTTTAGCTACAAGATATACCTCCCAGGATGCTGTCTGTGGCCAAAAGGTTTCAAGAATGCTTCTGAGATCAGTGGGAACCTTTTAGTTAGGGATGCTATACTGATGAGCAGGATGATGAATTGTTGGAGAAACTGCCTAAGACTTTATGAGATGCTCTCCTCCCATTTCAACTTGAATGTGTGAGGTTCAGTCTTCGAAGGGGTGGGAGGTGTCAAAACATAAAAGTAGAATATGACAGCATAGCAACATGAAAAATCCTTTAAAAACTTATATTTTAATATCAATGTTTCTAGAGGAATTAATTGATATATATATATATATATATATCATGGTGATGAATTTGATCTAAATTTTATTTTTTTGCGCCTCAGATTGTTGGTTTTTGGATTATTTAGTTACTTCTTTTAGCATGGTAAAGATTATAATTTCTATTTATAATGATTAAATTTGATATATTTAATCTTAATAGTGCCTGACTCTGATCATATCCCTAATCCTTATGTTTAAATTTGATTTAGGTAATCTTTTTTGCTTTTTTAATGAAGATTTGGTTGCTAAGTTTTAATGGGTTTTGTTTGTTTGTGGGTTAGAGATTGGAGATTGATTACGTCAGAGATGATGATGGATAGGATCGTATCGGAGGGTCAATTCAGTTCATCACAGTTATGAAACGGTAACTTTATTTCACTTTTCAAATTTAATTTTTAGATAAATATTTTCACACTTTTATGCATTGAAATAATTGACCTTATTGTGCTATTTTTGTTTCAGTTTTGAGTAGTTATTTGATCTTTAATTGAATCCACTAATTGATCTTTAATTGAAGAAACATGAAAATCCCTACACCGGCCTAAAATTCAGGCCCATATTTACACCCTAGCCTTAAATACTAATTGAAGTAGTTATCGAATCGAACTCGATCGAATATCTGGACAAATAATAATCAAACTATTTATTAATTATTCGGTTTAGTTCCACCACTATACTTCATATCTAAAGCAGAATGCTTTATTTTGATAACATGTTCAATATTTGCAAAAAATCTTTTAGGAACCGTGCTTTGCACGGGTCTAAATACTAGTAGTAATAATAATTTGCCCTTGAACATCCAATACATATTATGTAATAATATTGTAATGTTAATAAATTTAATTGTTGCACATAATTTGGGTATTATTTATATAATTGTTATATATATCCTTAGAAGTTATTTTGTTAGATCATGCACTGTGATGGTCACTTGCTTGGAGATATGATCTAACTTAGAAATTTCTTAAATTTGTGCTTAACCTATAACTAGTAAAGGATAACTTTGTTATAACAGGTTATTATGCATGACACCGATATATGAGATATGGTGGTGGGTCTCAACCATCGCCCCTTAAATTTAATTTAATAACATTGTACGTACCAATGTGCAAATATTCCAAGTACAAATATCCCCGTTTTATCTTCAAACCGCCCGCATTCGTCCACATCCCTCTCGATGGTAGTCGTAATCTCCTCACCAATCCCTAGACCCTTCCACTCCCCCTCTCTTCAGTCTCCAAGAAACCCTCGATCCCTTCCATTCTTCGAAAAGGGCCCCGTTGGCTTCCGATCGACGCTGCGTCAACGTGGCCTCGCCTCGATGGTGCTGCCCTCCTCCTCCTCTCCCTCCCTCAAAGGTCAGCGCCCCGCTTTTTTTTTTATCTCCAATTTGACGATTTTTCATGTGGTGGTTGATTATTTAGGAGGAATTTTGGCCAAAGGTTGGATTTTGGGAACTTGGGCATGTTAAAGATTGGATTTTGGGGGAACCCCGCCTTGGGCTTTGTGGGGTTGTGTTAGAGATTAGGATTTTGTGTGAACGCCCATTTGTGGGTCGTTGGATTATGGGAACAGCAAAATTTTATCCTGAAATTTTTAGTTGCAGCCCCTCTCTGGAATAACATAACAACAACCGTCTCCGTCGACTCTCTGTCGCTTTATCCTTGAGAGGATGATGCATTGTGGGGAATGTCAATTAATGATGAATCAGTTTTATTGCCTTCGATATCACTTACTCTCGAGTTTTTTTTTTCCTGGTTTTTCTCTATCTTAATTTCCATTTTTCACGAGGGGAAAAAAGAAGAAGTAGAAAGTGGAAGAGGAAAAGAACAAAGAATGTAATCCCTTGATTGGATCTTGTAAAGGAGAATATTAGATTTGTCCAGTTGGTGCTAGGTGTTTACTTACTGGTGGACTTATTATTAATATTGTTTTACATGTATTTTCTCTAGTTTTTGGTGGTCTACTTAATTGTGAGCAACAACATTGATAATATTTTTAATTGCCTAAACTGAATATTGTTGGAGAACCATCAAAGTTTGATTGGGTGTCAATAAGGAAATCTAACCGTAAAGCATTACTTTGCAGAGTGCAATAATTCTGTTTAACTCCTGTGAGCGACACCACTTCACAAGCATATCCTTTGCTAACAAAGAACTCCATTTATGTGGAACTTTTAAAGATTCCGAGAGAAAGCAATATTATATTCCACCTAAGTTGAAAGGAGGACATAACAGAAAATCTAAATTCATAGGATTAAAGTCATACAATATAGAAAAGAACCCATGAGTATAAAGTAGCATGCATGTGAAATAGATTTTTTGTCCTTCTAATAGAATTTAATTGCTCTGCAAACTGTGTAATTTTTTTCTTTTTAATTTTAATCTGGAACATGACCCTCTTCAATTGATTATTTGCAAGAGGATTAAAATGATACTATGTCATATGCAGGTACATTTGATGCAGAATTGAAAAGTCCAAACCCTGGCGTCACAGGAGAGAGCGACTTGCTGATTGTAGGACCAGGTGTTCTTGGTCGAATGGTTGCTGAAAAGTGGAGGCAGGTTTGTGACAAGTTTCTTAACACTATAAACATATTCACGCATGATCTAGTTTCTTTTCTTTAAAGATTTGTGGTCCTTCCATTTTGTACCTTTTCTGATTGATATATATATATATATATATATATGTATATATATATATATATATATATTGAGTGTAATGAATAGTTTGGGTCACTTGGCCTAGTGGTAAAGTTTGGAAGTTTGGACAAGAGGTTAGGGGTTCAAACCCCTATAGCCATAATATTTTTAGAATATTCGTTGTTAAGGATAATGGTTGATTATGAAGGTTACGGGTTGGTTGTTAAGGTTACGGGTTTGTTTTTAAGGATATGCGTTGGTTCTGAATGTTACGTTTTGGTTGTGAAGTTAACCTACATAACAAACTCGTAATATTAACAACCAACCCGTAACCTTCACAACCAACCATAACCTTAACAACTGACCCGTAACCTTAACAAATTATTCACAACCTTAACAACAAACCCGTAACTTTAACAATTAAATCCGTAACCTTAACAATTAAACCCGTAACATTAATAATCTCTTAATACAAACAAAAATAATTAGTTTCCTCATCAACAATAAAAATAATAAAAAATAAAAATAATAAAATAACAATCCCCTTCAATCATTTCAACATCATCACAATAACATCATGATAGAGAGAGAGAGAGAGAGAGAGAAGGGATCCATGACCTTAACAATTGACCCGTAACATTAACAATTAACTCGTAACTTTAACAATTAACTCATAACTTTAACAATCCCAATACAAATAGTTAGTTCCCCTCATCAATAACGAAAATAATAAAAAAATTCTCATCAATCATTTCAACTATCATCTCAGTACATCATGATAAAAAGAGAGAGAAAGAGAGAGAGAGAGAGAGAGAGAGAGAGAAGGGTATTATTGTCTTCACATATTTTAATCTCTTGGGTTCTATGTTTTTGGGACTTAGAAAACAAAATCTTTATTTTTGGAAGCAAAATACCTGTTGACAAAGTTTTAATGGGGAGCACGTTTTCTTGGGTTTTGTAGGCCGGAAGCATTTTTTTCCCCAAAGAAAAAAGGTTTCTGAAGTATAGAGGTAAGGGACTTTCTTCTTATATGTATCTACGAGGATAAAGAGAGGACGTTTTATCGTCATTCGCCGCGTAGGTTCCGCCGAGCTCTGACTCATTATTAAAATGAAGTTTGAAAATTGACTGTTCCTGATTCAAGATCAGACTATGACTTATGTTCACTAACAAAGATGCGTAGCTTCTTACTTTTGTTGCTGTGTTCCTTTGCCTAGCAACTTTAATTTGGTATTGCATTCCGTAGTTATTTAAAGTGATTACATTCAAATTAAATCAAGTTATGTGTAGTTATTTAAAGAGAATCACATTCATTTTATAACAAATGTATATGATGTTCACAACGAACTCGCTAGTTTATCTAGTAAATTGGATAGCTCATCATTACACTAGAAGAAAACTAAAAGGTTATGGCAATGAGGAGAAAAGGCTACATACTAGTTGGCTTCGCTTTATCACAGAGAAAAAGAGAATCTAGGGGCATGAAAAGAGGAATATTAGGGCTTTTGGATATTACTTCACCATATCATTCACATTTTGAAATTAGTCGCCCAAATCTTAATATCATGAAATTGGTATTTAAATCTTTAACTGTTTTGAAAGTGTCACCCAAATCTTCATATAGTGAAATTAATCCCCCAATCTATCAAAATATTTTAAAATTTGTTCCCAACATATCTAATCTGTTGCTAATGAGAGGGACTAATTTCAAAATACTTAAAAAGATCTGGGAGATAAATTTTAAGATACGAAGATTTGAAGGACTAATATCAAAATACTTAAGGATTTGGGGGACTAAATTCAAAATATGAAGGATTTCCGTGATTAATATCGAAAAAAACGCTTATTTTTTTTTGTCTTCAATCTGGAAGAAAAGGATGAGAGACAATCTCTCGTATTTCGATATGGATCATGATATCAATCCTTCCACTACGTGGGGTCAAATGACATGGATGCAAAAATTATTTGCTCAATTAATATGAAATCCAATAAAATACAAACATGAAGAAAAGAAAAGGGAAAAAATTGAACCCAACCAACCTCAAAAACACTAGTCATAGTCCTTCTCCATCTCTACTCCACATTAAGGGTCAGTCACGGAGAAACAAAGGTAATATTATGAAGAGAAGAGAGAATTAAAAGAAGAGTTTTGCTACAGGGACCCAAAATATGAGACCAATAAGGAGGACAAGTGAGGTGTTATCCTCCTATTGGATAATGAGTTGGTCATTACCTAAACTATAGAACCAATAGGGGGAGGTGTTCCCCTCCTATTGGATAATGAGTTGACCATCATTAACGATGACCAACTCATTATTCAATAGAAGGGTGATACCTCACTTATCCTCTTTATTGGACTCATATTTTGCGTTCGTGTAGCAAAACTCCTCTAAAAGAAATTGGCAAGGAAAGTACCAAACTCGTGCCTATTTCAGATGTGAGGGGGAAAAAACATACCCAAGCATCTCAATAATAATGCGATCCAAGAAGATGAGAAGATACGAATATTATATCTTTGAAAAAAATAAACAAATGGGCAAAGAAATAATCACATTCAGGACTAATTCAGATCAAGAAACATACCCAGCATCTGTTCATAACTATGAAACAAGTAACCAAAAACAAATCCTAATTTAACTTCACTAGCTATCTTCCCACAGTAAGCAAGGATGGATTGGCACCAACCTCTCCATTCTTTCTGCCATTGCCAACCGCAGTGGCGGCATCAGTACTAGCACTGGCCTTACTGGAAGCATAAGATTTGGAGGAAGAAGATGAGGATTTTGCCGGCTTAAATGATCCCATTGGGCCCGCAAATGCCAACCCCCAACTGGCGATTCCTCCCTCCAGCAATCGCTGATGCTGATGCTGATGCCCTCCCCGTGTTCGACCCAACTTCACTATCGAAATCATAGCCGCCGCCGATGAAAATTCTGGCACAGCCCACCCTCTCCTTAACCCTCTGCACGTCATTACCACTAAGCTTCTTGCCGCTGCCCTTGATGCGCTCGCGGTGCGATTCCACTCTCCTGAGAGTGCAATCCCCAAACCCAGTCGAGATCCTCTCCAAGAAATCGCCAGAGAAGCTTCGGCTTCCGCATCCGACCGACCGCGATCTTGCAACCTTTCTTCCAAACGAAGAGGAGCTCTCTGCAGCAACCTCAGCCTTTCCTATTTTGGTTTGAACACGATCGCTGGTACTCTCTTTTCGCTGCTGTTGCATCAGGTCTCTGCTGCTCGAGGAGGATGAGGAGGACGAGTAAGAGGAGAAATTAAGGAAAGACCAGAAGCTCTTCTTCCTCGGAATTTCAACCGTGGTTGTTGCATCCGAAACCCTACGCATCGATCGCGATGCCACCGACTTCCTCCTCTTGAAACCCTCAAAGTTACTATTCGAGGCCGAGGAAGAAGACGCAGCGACTTTCTTTTTCTGCGTTGCGCCATAATCGGAGCGGAATGAGGGGGAATCGGAGGGGGAGGAGGAGGAGGGTTGAGGGCGGAGGAAGGAGAAGGGGTTGCCGCCAG